GTAACCAGGATTCCATGGGAAAATAACTTGATTTTTGGTCTAAAGCAGGGTTTTTTTAACCTTTTTGAAAATTACTCTCCATCCCAGGAGTTTTTTCAGAATCTTTTTTTCCCTAGTTACCTCCTACCACATGAAATTTTAATACCACAGATATATCATGTGTCTGTTTGTATATTGTGACCATTTGGTGGACCATAAACCACTGGAATAGCTAAGATTTTTTTATCCCCACAAGAACCAATTTTGTTTAGAATGCATGGTCGAGGGCAAAGAAAGCCCAGGATGATCTTGCAGCATGTTGGATAAGGAAACAAGGAAGCAATCAAGCCCAAAGAGGCTCCCAGTGACCAAAATTGGGACAGTTTGAGCATTAAAAAGAATAATTACTGTAGTTGATTAAAGTACACTGGGTGTAGCTACTCAGGAGGCTGAAGTGGTAGTATTGCTTGAGCCTAAGAGTTCGAAACCAGCCTGAGCAACATAGCTAGATCTTATCTCTAAGGAGATAAAAAAATTAGGGCCAGGCAGGGTGGCTCACACCTGTAATCCCACACTTTGGGAGGCCTGGGTGGGTGAATCATGAGGTCAGGGGATTGAGATCATCCTATTTAAAACAGTGAAACCCCGTCTCTACTAAAAATAAACAAAATTAGCTGGGCGTGGTAGCACACGCCTATGGTCCCAGCTATGGGAGGCTGAGGGAGGAGACTCTTCAACCCATGAGGCAGAGTTTGCAGTGAGCCGACATAGTGCCACTGCATTCCAGCCTGGGCAACAGAGCAAGACTCCATCTCAAAAGAAAGAAAAAAAAATTAGCCAGGCATGGTGGCACACACCTGTAGTCCTAGCTACTCAGTTGATGTGGGAGGATTGCTTGAGCCCAGGAGTTTGAAGCTGCAGTGAGCTATGCTTGTACCACTGCATTCCAGCCTGGGTGACAGAGCAAGACCCTGTCTCTTAAAAAACCAAAAAACAAAAAACAAGCACACTGAATATATATAATAAAAATCCACAAGCTCATAATGAATGAAAACAAGAGCTGGGTGCTGGACGAGGTAGCTCATGCACCTGTAATCCCAGTGCTTTGGGAGGCCGAGGCAGGGGAATCACTTGAGCTCAGGAGTTCGAGATCAGCCTGGGCAACGTGGTGAAACCCCATCTCTACAAAAATACAAAAATGAGCTAGGCTTTGTGTTACATGTCTGTTGCCCCAGCTACTCAGGAGGCTGAGGTTGGAGAATTACTTGAACCTGGGAGTTTGAGGCTGCAGTGAGCTGTAATCATACCACTGCACGCCAGCATGGATGACAGAACAAGACTCTGTCTCAAAAAAAAAATTAAATAAATAAATGAGAAAACAAATTAATACTCATCTGCCACTATTGGAGAATATTTTTCACTAACTCTCTACTCTGAAAACCAATTAAAGGGAAATAAACACTCTGCCTTTACAGTGAGAACTGTAGTTCAGTTTAATCAAATAGTCCCATTTGCAGAAGGAAAGCTCCTCTTTACAGAAAATATGCCAGTTGGAGAACTAGACATTCCTCAAAGGATCACCCCTAATTAGAAGGGGAAAACTTGGCAGTGAGATCTTGTTGGTTCCACCTTAACTTAGTAAACTTAGCCATACTTATAATGGGACAATGAGACAATATGCCTCCGGTATGATGCAATATACAGTACATGGGATCACCTCTTAAAGTATTCTTAACAAAATTATTTAACATAAATTAGCTAAGTTAGATCTAATTTCCAGTTAATAGGAAATACAAGGGATAGTAAAATAAGTTAAATGATTCTATGTGGAAGCAATCAGACAAGTCCAGAATGTGGGATATGACCTTCTGTAAAGACATGTGGCTTGTTCTTTTTTCTTTCTTCTCTCTCTCTCCTTTTTTTTTTTTTTTTTTTGAGATGGAGTCTTGGCTGGGCGCAGTGGCTCAAGCCTGTAAACTCAGCACTTCGGGACCCCAGGGTGGGCGGATCACGAGATAGAGACCTTCCTGGAAAACATGGTGAAACCCTGTCTCCACTAAAAATACAAAAATTAGCTGGGTGTGGTTGTGTGGTGCCTGTAGTCCCAACTACTTGGGAAGCTGAGGCAGGAGAATCACTTGATCCCGGGAGGCGGAGGTTGCAGTGAGCCAGGATCATGCCACTGCACACCAGCCTGGTGACAGAGTAAGACTCCCAAGCAAAAAAAAGGATAGAGTTTCACTTTGATGTCCAGGCTGGAGTGCAGTGCTGCAGTCTCGGCTCACTGCCACCTCCACCTCCTGGGTTCAAGTGATTCTGCTGCCTCAGCCTCCCAAATAGCTGGGATTATAGGCACCCGCCACCAAGCCCAGCTAATTTTTGGTAGAAGCGGGGTTTCTTCATGTTGGCCGGACTGTTCTCAAATTTCTGGCCTCAGGGGATCCACCCAGCTCAGCCTCCCAAAGTGCTGGGATTACATATGTGAGCCACCGTGCCCAGTGTTCTTTTATTTATTTATTTATTTATTTTTAGACGGAGTTTTGCTCTTGTTACCCAGGCTGGAGTGCAATGGCACAATCTCGGCTCACTGCAACCTCCGCCTCCTGGGATCAAGCAATTCTCCTGCCTCAGCCTCCCGAGTAGCTGGGATTACAGGCACGCGCCACCATGCCCAGCTAATTTTTTGTATTTTTAGTAGAGACGGGTTTTCACCACGTTGACCAGGATGGTCTCGATCTCTCAACTTTGTGATCCACCCGTCTCGGCCTCCCAAAGTGCTGGGATTACAGGCTTGAGCCACCGCGCCCGGCCCGCGTTCTTTTAAAAAAGTTACTATGGGCTGGGCACAGTGGCTCATGCCTGTAAACCCTGACGCTTTGGAAGGCTGAGGCGGGCAGATTGCTTGAGCCTAAGAGTTTGAGACCAGCCTAGGCAACATGGTGAAAACCCATCTCTACTAAAATACAAAAAATAGCCAGGAGTGGTGGTGTATGCCTGTAGTTCCAACTACTCAAGGGGCTGAGGTGAGAGGATCGCTTGAGCCAGGAGGACAAGACTGCAGTGAGCAGTGATCATACCATTGCACTCCAGCCTGGGTGACAGTGGGACCCTGTCTCAAAAAAGTTTGCGGGAGGCCGAGGTGGGTGGATCACGAGGTCAAGAGATCGAGACCATCCTGGTCAACATGGTGAAACCCCGTCTCTACTAAAAATACAAAACATTAGCTGGGCATGGTGGCGCGTGCCTGTAATCCCAGCTACTCAGGAGGCAGAGGCAGGAGAATTGCCTGAACCCAGGAGGCGGAGGTTGCAGTGAGCCGAGATCACGCCATTGCACTCCAGCCTGGGTAACGAGCAAAAACTCCATCTCAAAAAAAAAAGAAAAAAAACAAACAAACAAGTTACTATGCAAAAGAAGAGGCTGCACTATTCTAGATTAAAAGAGGTTTCAGAGACATAACGAGATGCAGTCCATGGTTCATGTTTGGATGCTTTTATAAAAGACATTTGAGGGAATAATTGGGAAAATTTGAATATGGATTGGGTATTGAATGATATTAGGGAATTCTTTTTAATTTTGTTTAGCTTGTTAATGGTGTATGGCTATGTTGGAAAAATGTATATATGTATATATATATGTATATACACACACACACACACATATACATACGTATATATATATACACACACACACACACACATATATATATATATCTTTTTTTTTCTTTTCTTTTTGAAACAGTCTCTCTGTCACCCATGCTGGAGTGCAGTGGCCTAATCTCTGCTCACCGAAACCTCTGACTCTTGGGTTCAAGCGATTCTCATGCCTCAGCCTTCAGAGTAGCTGGGATTACAGTCATGCACCACCACACCCAGCTAATTTTTTTTTTTTTTTTTTGAGACGAAGACTTGCTCTGTCACCCAGGCTGAAGTTCAGTGGTGCCATCTCGGCTCACTGCAACCCCCACCTCCCGGGTTCAAGCGATTCTCCTCCTTGGCTTCCTGAGTAGCTAGGATTACAGGTGCTTGCTATCATGCCCAGCTAATTTTTGTATTTTTAGTAGAGACAGGGTTTCACTGTTGATTGTTGGTCAGGCTGGTCTCAAACTCCTGACCTCGTGATCCACCTGCCTCAGCCTCCTAAAGTGCTAGGATTACAGGTGTGAACCACTGCACCCACCCTTAATTTTTATGTTTTTAGTAGAGACAGGGTTTCTCCATGTTGTCCAGGCTGGTCTTGAACTTTTGGCCTCAAGTGATCCACCCATCTTGGCCTCCCAAAGTGCTGGTTTACAGGAATGAGCGAGTGTGCCGAGCTGGAAAAATTTCTTCTATTTTATTATTGTTATTATTATTGAGACAGAGTTTCACTCTGTCACCCAGACTGGAGTGCAGCGGTGTGATCTCGGCTCACTGCAACCTCTGCCTCCTGAGTTCAAGTGATTCTTCTGCCTAGGCCTCCCGAGTAGCTGGGATTACAGGTGTGTGCCACCATGCCCAGCTCATTTTTGTATTTTTAGTAGAGATGGGGTTTCACCATGTTGGCAGTCTGGTCTCGAACTCCTGGCCGCAAATGATCCACCCACCTCAGCCTCCCAAAGTGCTAGGATTAACAGGTGTCAGCCACCATGCCTATCCATTTTTTATATTTTAGAGATGCATTTTGAAGTATTTAGAGGTGACATTTTATAATGTCTGTCCTTTATTTTAAAGCACTTTAGCATGCAGAAATAGATAAAACAAATATGGCAAAAATATCAATGTGTTAAATCTAGGAGACGAGTATATGGGCATTGACTACACCAGTCTTTCAACTACTTTTTTAAAAACATGTTTTAAAATGTTCATAATATAAGGTTTAAAAAACTGAAAATGGTTTGGTTGAAGGGTCCTCAGGAAATGCTACTTCTCAGACAAGGAAGGGTAAGTTGGCTTTGACTTATGTTGAGAACCTGTGGCTCCTGGATTCTTCCTCACATGTCTTTTTTTCTTCCCTCTCCCTTCACCCTACCTCCTTTCCAGCCCTCTTTGATTCCATGCACAGCAGCCAGGCCTCAGATAGCCCATTTTCCCCACCACGTACTCTTCATTCACCTCCCCTGCAACTCCAGCAGCGCTCTGAGAAACCCCCTTGGTGTAAGTAATCCTTTTGGAACTGCCTAGACAAAAGCCAAGAAGACTAGAGTGATTGGTGAATGAGGGACCTGTTGCCTGAGGGAAAAGAAGCAGTCTCATCTGCCATTTCTAACATGAAGGGAGAATCTGTTTATTCTCTTTCTTTACCTCTGTTCTTCATGTTCCTTCTATCTCATTGCAGAGAAGCTTTTCTCCAGTATTAGGAATAATTTTTTTAAATTTAATTTTATTTTTGTAAATTATTTCTTCCTTGATGATTTAGAGGGACTATCTTCAAACAAGTACAAATATTTCATATGTAATACCTGTCCATTTTCTAACCAATTGAGCAATTTATTGCAATAAGCTACCTCACGTCTTTCAGCAAGAAATAAATTAAATTTGAATAGTAAATACATTACCTAATGAATTGGGACACAGTTAAAATTTGCTTTAAATATTTCTTTGGGGGAGAGGATACCATACTTCCACTCAATGAAGAGAAACATTTTTACAGTCCAGAGGCCTTTTATTTTTTTTTAATACCTATTATGCCATGAATTCTTAGGGAATAGTTTCCAGCAGCTCAGGCTCCTTCACATTGGTTCTCTCAAAGTGTGCTTCTCAGGGTGGAGCAGCTGGTGCTTCACTTGGCTTCTTTTTCTGATCATTTTCCTTCATGCATTTCAGGAAGCTATCTCAGCTCTTATAGTGCTTAACATGTTCAAGAAGCACATTAATTCACTTGGCCAGAATCATGCCTTCAACTTGTTTGTTTACAACCGTGCCAAAAGCATGCTGGGTAACATTGTAGACTCTTCAGTTTTCCCATGGTAACACTTGTGGGGCATTCCTTTTTGAACAGTACCCATTCCTTTGATGTCTACAATATCACGTTTTTTTTTTTACTATTTTTTTTACTTATAAAGATGGGGTTTCACCATGATGGCCAGGCTGGTCTTGAACTCCTGACCTCAGGTGATCCACCCACCTCGGCCTCCCAAAGTGCTAGGATTACAGGCGTGAGCCACAGTGCCCAGCCAATATCACCTTTCTGATAGATTTGCATATACGTGGCCAAAGGAACAACTCTATGTTTTCTAAAAGGCCTAGAGAACATAGGTCCGGTGCCTCTCCTCTTTCCCTTTGTGTTCGTCATTTTGGCAAATTATTGGAAGATGGCAGTTCTGCCCAAAAGGCAGGAATACTTTTTAATTTGGAGAGAAGTTCTTCCTCAAAGGTGCCTTTGGGGAAGAAAGGATGGAGACTTCCTTCTCCTCCTATTTGAGCTCTACAGCTTTCTCCAGTAAAGATGACTAGCAGACAACTTAGATATTTAGAAAAGCTGGGAGCAGGAGACTAGAATCTGCTACTTAATTCTCCATGACCCTTCTCCTGTTGGTCTGTTTTCAGTTTAAGTTGAGGTGCTGCTTTTTCCCATCTATTGTTTATTATCTCTAATCTATCACTAGTTATTTTTGGTAACAGTGTGAACAGTGGAGCCATACAGAATTCTTGAATGACTGTAGGAAGGAGGAGCTACTGGTGGTAATTGGAGGTGGGGATATGGGCCAGAGGCACTGGTGAGGTATCATTCTGCCTCTGGGGAATAACTGAAGTCAAACATGCCTTTCATTATTTTACTTGGATAGGACCCAAGCAAAGATTCTTACTTCATTCAGCACTGGACTTAACAGTTGTAGAATTTTCCCCTTCTTCCCCTATATGAGGAAAAACCTTTCTTCCCTGACACCAAGAATTCCTCCCCTGCATTTCAGAGAATCCTACACTCACCTTGCCTTTGCCCTTTTTACCTTTCCTGGAGTGTTGATGAGTTCTGTGCCCCTGGAAATCTTACTCTTCTCTCTTCTGTTTCTGGTTGACCTTGTTGATTTGCCTGAATCAGACCACTAGCTGGATATTAAGGCTACTTCTTTACTTGGGTAATGCTCAGCTTACATCTTTTTCTTTTTTTCCATCTCGTATCAGATTTTTGACTCAGCATCAGGTGTTTAGCCTCACTGGTAAACATCTTCTTTAGGATCTATATGTCTGCACCAGAAATAGGCTCCACATCTCTTAAAGCCTTGTTGGCTCAAAACCATATCTTCTCTATCTCTCTATTTTTTTTGAGCCAGAGTCTTGCTTTGTCACCCAGGCTGGAGTACAGTGGTACAGTTTTGGCTCACTGCATCCTCCACATCCCAGGCTCAAGTGATTCTTCTATCTTAGCCTCCCAAGTAGCTGAGATTACAGGCACCGTCCACCACACCTGGCTTATATTTATATGTTTAGTAGAGACAGGGTTTCTCCATGTTGGCCAGGCTGGTCTCTAACTCTTGATCTCAAGTGATCCACCTTCCTCAGCCTCCCAAAGTGCTGGGATTACAGCCATGAGCCACTGTGCCTAGCCTCTTTTTCAGCTTGAAGCATGCCTCTTTTAATTCTTGATAGAAGAGAGATAACTAGCATACCTTAAACTGAATGATAAATTGAGCCTTTGTAGGCTCAGGTTTACCAACTTTTTGAGGTTTTCTTTAAGGGCAATATGTTCTGATGTCTCCTTTTCCCAGAATCTGTCATTATTCATACCATAGTGCTTTAATGTATCATTATAATGCTATCAATAAAAATTATATTTACCAAGGGAAAAGTAGGTTAGTCCTGTACTAGAGGTCAGTGAAGAAGTAGAGGTTGGGTTAAGAATCATCCCACAGTGTAATTGAAGACTCTGAGGTCTTTATTACATTACTGTCAGGATGTAGGAAATCTGTTTTTTAATGTTTTCTGTGTATATAATATGGACAAGCCTGTAACATTGTATATCCCAAGACTTACAAGGGTGTTAACCCTGGATCCATGGAATGTGGTTTCAGGGTAGAGTCTATGAGCTTCAGGAATCACATGTAAAGATTAGTGTGAATATTCATATGTACATTTTTCCTGGAAGATAATCTATGACTTTCATTAGTACCTCAAAGTGGCCACTGACCCCTAGAAAGGTTAAGAACTGCCATGTAGGCTGGGCGCGGTGGCTCAAGCCTGTAATCCCAGCACTTTGGGAGGCCGAGGCGGGTGGATCACGAGGTCAACAGATCGAGACCATCTTGGTCAACATGGTGAAACCCTGTCTCTACTAAAATTACAAAAAATTAGCTGGGCACGGTGGTGCGTGCCTGTAATCCCAGCTGCTCGGGAGGCTGAGGCAGGAGAATTGCCTGAACCCAGGAGGCGGAGGTTGCGGTGAGCCGAGATCGCGCCATTGCACTCCAGCCTGGGTAACAAGAGCGAAACTCCGTCTCAAAAAAAAAAGAACTGCCATGTAGAGATTCCATGGCCATTTTCCATCTTTGGGGAATGGTTTCATTTTCTTTCTTTTTTTTTTTCTCTGAGATGGAGTCTTGCTTTGTTGCCCAGGCTACAGTACAGTGGCACAATTTCAGCTCACTGCAACTTCTGCTTCCAGGATGCAAGTGATTCTCTTGCCTCAGCCTCCTGAGTAGCTGGGATTACAGGCACCTGTCACCACGCCTGACTAATTTTTATATTTTTAGTGGAGACAAGGTTTTGCCATGTTGGCCAGGCTGGTTTTGAACTCCTGACCTCAAGTGATCTGCCTGCCTTGGCCTTCCAAAGTGCTGGGATTACAGGCATGAGCCACTGCACCAGGCCAGGGAAACCATTTTATTTCCTGTTGTTCTGATTTACATTGTCTTTCTACGTTCTCCTGCCAACTTATCATTTGGGCTATAAATAATGATTATTTCTGCCCCAGAAATACATTGATTGCTTTAAAGAATGATTCTTAACAGAATGTGTACATCAGATTCAATTGAGAGTGTTCCAACAAAATTATATTGCCTTCATCCTCCTCCTTCCTGCAAGCTACACCTTTACACTAAACCTATAGAATTAGGATCTCTGGAGTTGAAAACTGGAAATTAATATTAAAAAAAAATTTTTATGACTTTGATTATGAACCACTTGGCTAAAGTATTCATATGCTGCCAAAGTAGGAATTAGAGGCCATGGAAACTTGGAATTGGTATGGGAGTGTATTTGTGAAAGAACCAGATGAAGTTGGTCTTAGTACTCTCTCCTAAAGTCTTACATGTACCTTATGGTTACTCTTAGAGTATACATTAGGCCAGGGTGACAGTTCCTGAGCTAAGAAAACTTAGGAGTCTCTGCTTAACTTAGGAAGAATTCAGACACATGAGTAGCATAGGCCAACCATTCTAGCATTTGAACTATCTGCACAGAGTAGAGCCTACTCTCCCAGCTTCTCTGACTTGATCTCTTGACTTTGCTTTACAGACAGCAGTGGCCCTTCTAGCACTGTGTCCAGTGCTGGTCCTTCTTCCCCTACTACAGTAGATGGTAACTCCCAATTTGGCTTCAGTGATCAACCCTCCCTAAATTCACACGTGACTGAAGAACGCCAAGGCCTTGGGCTGCTCCAGGAGACCCCTGGGAATGGAGCACAAGAGCTCTCCATAGAAGGGGAACAAGAGCTTTTTGAACCAAATCAGTCCTTACAGGTACCACCTGTGGAAACCAGCCAGCCATACAACGAGGAGGTGGCTGAGGAGGTCAGTCAGCCATGTCAGGAGGTCCCTGACATCAGCCAGCAATGCCAGGAGCACCATGACAATGGTAACCACACATGCCAGGAGGTCCCTCAGATCAGCCAGCCATGCCAGACGGCCAGTCAACTGTACCAGAAAGTCTCTGAGGAAGTTTGCCAGCTATGTCTGGAGAACCCCGAGGAGGTCAGCCAGTCATGCCAGGGGGTCTCTGTGCAGGTTGACAAGCTGGTCCATAGGTTCCATGTAGGTGTTTGTGGCTTGGTTCAGGAAACCCTTATAGAAGTTGGCATGCCAGCTGAAGAGATCCCTGAGGAGGTCAGCCAGCCGTATCAGTTCTCTGTGGAGGTTGGCAGGCTGGCCCAGGAGCCTTCTGCATTCAGTCTGTCTCAGGGCATTCCTGAGATTGATAAACCATCCCAAGAGTTCCCTAAGGAGATTGATCTGCAGGCCCAGGAGGTCCCTGAGGAGATAAATTAGAAGTCCTGGGTGGTCCCTGAGGTGGTTGATCAGCTGCCTGGAGAGGTTATTCCTCAAGCCCAGAATCCGTCTGGTGATCCAAACACTCAGAGGCAGCCTCTAGCCCATGACCAGCACTCATCCCTTCCACCAGCAACATGTAATTAATTTTCTCATTAGTGGTGTCACACTATACCAGCTATTTGAGCCAGCAACCTTTTCTCTTGGCTAACTCACTGGCCGGCTCTCACCAGCAGTGTCTGGGGAAGCAGTTCCTTTGGTATGAAGCATACCTGTGCTAGAGCTGTGCTTGAGGAGGAGCCAGTTTTAGGTTCAAAGAAGCCATTGGCTCTTCACTTAGCCATTAGACTTGAATAGGATTTCCTTGGGGTGGGTTGCTCTGTCGTTACCCAGCCTTCTCTGAGCATCCTAGGAAGTCACAGATTGTTAAAGGAAATGCTGCTTCACTGCTGAAGACACCATCTGGGGACAGCAAATGCAAAAGAGGGGACTCTAGGGCCTTCACTTTTCTGGGAAAACATTCATGACTTCTCAAGGTACCCTTAGACCATATGTGCATTCAGGAGACTCTTGTCTTTGCCAGCACTCCTCAGGTGAGCCAGGATGGCCATCTAAAATGTCTGGAAAATAGAGTCCCCTCTCCAAACAAACATCTATCATGGCCACTAATCTTTAGACTTGCCTTACAGATCTTTCCATATCATCCCCAAGTGCCCCTTCTGCCTCAGTCCTGTTTCTCTGGGCAATAGCTCTAGGGAAAAGTAGGTATTAGACTGCTGTGCAAAATTCAGAGCAATTACTTAAAATGTCCTAGAGGGTTCTTAGCCAGTCTGTGAAACTGGGTCTCCCTTTGTGGTGGGGCTATTTGGCTTAGGAGATGCTGTAGTAGTAGAGATAATCAGGTTCTATTTTAAGCAATCAGCAGAGATCAATATTGTACAGATACAAGCAAAGGTTTAATATATATACACACACACACACACACACACACACATATATGTATGTGTGTATATATATATTTATTTCTGTAATTGTACCAGGGACAGACTGGCCAAAGAGCAAACACTCCAGGTTCCCCAAGAAATTTATCCTTATATCATTGTGTCTGAGGGCCAGATATGATTATGAAGCTTTTTCCAAAGATCTGGGGATGGGAATGGGAGGGGGTAGGAGGGGTAATGCAGTCATTGGAGTCGGGGGCCGGAACATTATGAGTGCTTAATAAATATAAAATGATGAGAATGGTGATGATGGATGATGGTGATGTCCTTATGGATTCAAGAATGAATATGGACCGGGCACAGTGGCTCATGACTGTAATCACAGCACTTTGGGAGGCCAAGGCAAGCAGATCATTTGAGGTTGGGAGTTGGAGACCAACTTGACCAACATGGTGAAACCTTATCTCTACTAAAAACACAAAAACTAACTGGGCATAGTGGCATGCAGCAGGAGAATCGCTTGAACCCTGGAGGTGGAGGTTGCAGTGAGCCGAAATCAAGCCACTGCACTCCAGCCTGGGCAACTAAGCAAGACTGTCTTAAAAAAAAAAAAAAAAAAAAAAAAAATCAGTATGACTGAGTCAGTTGTGTCTGTAACTGATTAATCTGAATCAGTCAAAAGACATTATAGTTGAGCAGGAATGGGCTGTAAAAATAGAGATCAGGCATCCAAAAATAGACTATAAAAATATAGAGATTAGACATCCCAAGAGGTGCCTATAGCAGTCAACTCACTATCTCAAGAGGTCTGTCTTTTTTTTTGAGGCCGAGTCTCGCCTTTGTCCCCCAGGCTGGAGTGCAATGGTTCGATCTCAGCTCATCGCAACTCCACCTCCCGGGTTCAAGTAATTCTCCTGTGTTAGCCTCCTGAGTAGCTGGGATTACAGGCACCCACCACCACACCCAGCTAATTGTTTTGTATCTTTAGTAGAGAGGGGTTTCGCCATGTTGGCCAGGCTGGTCTCCAACTCCTGACCTCAGGTGATCCACCGCCTTGGCCTCCCGAAGTACTGGGATTACAAGGGTGAGCCACTGCACCCACCCCCCCAAAAGGTCTTTAGTGAGGAAGGAGAGTGTTGGAAGGGGGACTGGAAAGAGGTTTCCTCTCTGTGAAGCACCAGAGGGTACGTGCCTTGTCACCAAGATCTTGGAATCATCCTATTAATTTTTTACTCTGATGGAGTGTCAGGAGTTTATATAAAGGTGCTATGCCCTTTCTCTGGTCCCTTGACATCTTTACTATGTGAGAGCCCAGAACAGTGGGAGAGCTAGAACATGCCCCTCCCCAAATATTCATAACCTGGCCACTCCTGACATACCTAGGACTATAAAGGGTTTCTGAGGTGGGGGAGTCTACCATTTTACTACATGGAAATCCTGACTGCACAAGGAGAGTTGTTTCCAGCCTCCTTAGGCTCTGGATCTCTTAGGATCCCTCAGCTTCTTACCTCTTTAGCCCAAGAGGTTGTCCAGGTTATCTGATCCTGGTTATTTGGTCCTCAGCTCTTGCCCCCATGGAATGCAGATGCCCTCCCCCAGGAGGTCCCTTGCCCCTCTTCCCTCCACCAAATCCGACGTATGTACCCACCCTAGGCTCCTGTTCTCCATACTCAGGCACAAGTGTTTCCAGTAATCAAAAGCATTGGAGTCTTCAAAGATAAATTCAATGCTGGTTGAAACAAAGGTAGGAGCCAGGGTCCAGCAACTAAGCAATGTATGGAGTCAGAAAAGCCTAAGCAGCACTACACCATCTGCAATGAACTCGGTTTATTGTTAGAGTTGGAGGTGGCTCCCTTACAGCAGCTGGGAACTATAGCAGGGAAGTATGGGGAGGAGCAGAGCACAGCAGCACGGGGAGGGTGGAGCTAGGAAGAACACTAGGTGGGCTCATTTTGGTTTCCCAGTAGTTTGGCAGAGAAGGCGAGCCCAGGTGACTACCAGCCTCTGTTTTCTCAGTCCAGCAGTAGTCTGATAGGGCTGCTCACTGGCTTGCTTGGGACGAGGTCCTCTCCTGGGGTGGTATTTTCAGCCCGTTTTCACTTCACTCTGTGAGAGTTAAGCTATGACTCAGCTGCTTCTCCCTTTTTCCTTCCTCCCTCTCATTTTCCAAGTCCTCTGGCCGGGCCTCCACCTCCCAGATCCTCTAAGAGTGGGTTTGGAGAGGCAGCCAGCGTTCCCATTTCAGCTGCAGGATGGCATAGTGGAATGTTGAGGGAGTCACACATTGCTGGGTGTCAAATGTTGGGATGTCAGGCAGTTGCTTATTTTTAACCCATTACACACCAGGCCACAGCGGATGACCACATGCAGAGAAGCCAAGCAGGGGATGAGAAGGGATCAGGATAATTGAAATGGGGTGAGTAAAAACTTCAAAGAGTAAGGGAGTTTGGAAGAATTCTGGCATTGGGAATGGGCTCTCCTTGCCCTTTTGTGCTGTCTGAACACAGCCCTGGGATGTGAATGGTAAAAAGCAGGGGCTGGGGAATAAGCTCCTTTCTCCTCTCACCAGTCTATCTATTGATCTAAAGAGCTTCAAGTTTTAAATTGAGACATTCAGATACTGAGGGAAGCAGTAGAACAGTGTAGCAGTGGGATACCCCCAGGCCCCTGCTAGAACTCAGATCCTGGTGTGTGGGGAGATGGAGGAAAGGGTGCAGCTCTGGGCACCTCACTGACAGCATCCTGCCCCCAGCTCACATAAATTGCTATTGGAAATCCTTCCTGGGATGCCAAATAAATAGATTGAGATAAAGAGGTCCTTGGTGTTGGGGATATAATCTCCCTCTATGAGGCAGGAGGCTGCTCTCTCAGACCTATCCTGAGTCTCCATCCAATACCAGCATTTGACAGTGCTAGGAGAGGGTTCTCAGGCATCAGATGCTATCCTATCCTAATTTGTCCCCTTCCCCTGTCCTCTCCTGGTTAACTTTGGTTTGAGACCCATCTCAGGAATGGATGACAGGAAGGGACAATCCATTTAGCCCAGCCCAAGTTCCCACAAGAAGACATCTCCCTCCCCTGCCCCTAGCTCCCATCTCCCTCAACACCACAGGACTCAGCAGTAGCCATTATCTAAAGGAGCTGGGGGAGTGGATCCTTGGGGAAGGGATGGCAGCTCTTTCAGAACTCAATCTTGCAGGCAGGGAAGGACTCATCCTGCATGACCACGGTGCTGCTGCTAGCCAGGACCAGGACGTTCAGTTGCTGCTGCTGCTCATGAGTCTGTTGGTACCACTCACGAGTCACCTCCGTGTCATGAGTAGGGATCAGAGTCACCTAGAAGGGAGATAAGACATGCCCGATGTGAGAACATGAAGGGGGAAGGTAGGTGAGGGGGAAGGGGAACCTGATGGTCTCAGAAACAGCCCTGTTGCCCTTAGAAAAGGCCCATCCTTTAATAAATAGGGACTGTGTTCTACTACTGCCTCTGAGTGAGCTTTGACCAAACTAATTCCTTGGTGTCCTTTGCTACTCACCTGAAGATTCTCCCCCCACTGGGCCTTGCCCTCCAGCAGGGCATCCAGCACGGCCCGGCTTGGCTCGCCATTGGCAGGGTCATTCCCACTGACCACATAGTAGGATGCACGCACTCGACGGAAGAAGTCAAGGTCAGCAGTCTTGCCACTGCAATGATTCGGGATATAGGCGAGATCCACATATACAGGGGCACCAGAGCCGCCCTTGGAACTCAAGGCCACTGCAGAGACAAGCCAGCATTCAATGTAGAGGAAAAGTAGAACCCTTTAGGCAACCTTCTCTTCTTTCCCACTCCTGGGAAGTCTGACCAGCTCACACCCAGCCCTAACCCACACTCTCTGCCACTTTTCATGATATACTTACTTGGTCCTGCCTTGAGTCCATTGACTAGGCCTTTGGACATGGGGCTGTGTCCATCCTTTTCCTCTGCTGGGGTGACCTGGCTTGGAGTGCTGCGTGGTCGGGGTGGGGCCCGGGATGCTCGATCTGCAGGTCCTTTACCAGGGGTGGGTGATCGTTTTCCTCGAAGATCCAGACGCCGAGCAGGGGACGCTGGCTTGGCCCTGCCTGGGGCCCTGCGCCCTACTCGCCCCTGAACCTTCTCCTTCTCCCGTAGCCTCTCTACTCTCCCAGACTCTGAACTGAGCCCCTCAGGGTCAGCCATGCACACATCAGGGCGGGGAGGTGATGGGCGGGGGTCTGGCTGTGGGAGAGGGGGTGGGTCATGGCCAGGCCTGGGATGGTGAGTACCACTGACCCCCCCCAGCTTTGTCCACAGGCAAGAAGTCCCCATCTTCATCTGAGTCAAGGGCTGCCTCCGCTGTGATGGATGGACACTCCTCAGTTTCTGGTGGGACATCAGAATCTGACTGTGAGGAGCCTGAGTCACTGGCTGATGTGGGGGGTGTCTCATCAGCCACAGGGCATGGGCCCCCAGTGGTCCCTGACCCCCCTGCCTGGCGCCGACTGCCTCTTCCTACCGGCCGAGCTTCCTCAGTTGAGAGGTCACTGTCATCTGTGGATGGGGGCAGAAGTGGGTTCAGGAAGGATGGGGAGAGCTCCTCCCGACAGGGCCGGGGCTCAGCAGCACATCCCTGGGGCCCAGCCTCAACCTCAGGAGAGGTACTGCTGGGTGGGTCACCAGAGCCCCCTCCAGAACACAGTGGCTGCTCAGGGGACAGCAGTGTGTCAGGCCGGGAGCTCCTCTCAGCTCCTTCAGGCCAGGCCCCACGTTCCCAGGCAGGACAGGCCTCAGCCTCTTCTTTTTCAGACTTGGCTGGGGCAGGGCCTAAGGGGTTAGGGCTGGTTTCAGTTAGGCCATTGGCTGCACAATCCCCAGAGGGACCCTGAGAGGGGCTTATCTTCTCCGTGGCTGCCACTGAGCACTCCAGGTGGCGCAGCAGGGTGCCATCACCCATATCTGCAGGCAGGCTTGGAGCTGGAGCTGGGACCAAGTCCAGTGAAGCTGGGGGTGCTGAGCTCAGAGGAGTGCGGTCCCAGAGGCTGTGGATAGCTGGTTCCATTCCTGGGTCCAGCTCTCCAGACTCCTGTTCTGCAGCCTCAAGGCCTGGAGAGAAGTGCTCAGCCACACTTGAAATCACAGGTGTGGTTGCTTCAGAGGAGCCGTCAGATAGGGCTGGTGAGGCAGGTCGTGGCAGATTGGAGAGGAGAGGGGCCTCAGGGGAGCTGGGTGATGGGAGCTGGGGCAGCGAGGAGTCCAGGCTGGGGGCCTTGGTCACTTCCAAGTATTCATCATGCCGGGTTCTGGTGGGGGGTCCTGGAGCCAGAACCAGAGCTCGGTCCCCAGAGAAGGCAAGGGAGCCACAGGGTGCTGAGCGGGGTTCAGCTGGAGAGGGCAGCTGTGTGGGAGCTGGCTGCAATGAGGAGAAGCCAAAAGCTGAAGCAGGGAAGTCCAGACTGGGTCGGGCAGGCCCCAGGTGTGAGTCCAAGGGAGGGCTGATATGTGCCTCAGTTTCTGACCACAATGTGGGGGGCCCCATAGGGATGGAGTGAGGAGGACTTGGGGATTGGGCCTCTTTTTCCGGCTGTTCCCGAGCCCCCTTCTCCAGTTCTGAGTCACTAGTGCTGTCATCCCAGTGACTCCCGCCTGATTCCTTGGGGGATGGGGACCTCCTATCTGGGCTGCAGCTCAAGATGTTACCATTAAGAGGGGGGCTTGGGCCTTTGCTCAGGATAGGAGCACGGGGGGGCACTACAGGTGGGGTGAGGCTGGGCTCCACACTTGGCCCTGGCTCTGACCTTGGGGGTACAGTGGGTCCTGCCAGTGCTGCATAGCTGAAGGTTGGAGTGTCAGATTGGAGGCTCCTGGGTGAGATAGGAGACGAAAGCTCCTTCTCTGCAGATGTGTTTCGGCCAGCAGCCTCCTCCTTGGTTGAGAGGCATGGGGGCCAATCCCCAGCTGCTCCAAGTGGAGGCTCTCTAGTGGGGCATGTAGGGCCAAGCCCAGTAAGCATCATCTGCTCATAGATGTCTGCATACTGAAAGCTTTTCTCATCAGGATAGGGTGTGGGCTCTCTCTGCTCGGGCTCAGTCTGCTCAGGCTCCATGGTAGTATGGCTTTTGCTGGCCTCTGGTACCTTTGAGCTGTGTGAGCTGCTGTCAGGAGCTCCAGCCCTACCTTCTTCTTCCCGTTCCCCTTCAGCCTTGCGGTAGTCCTTCCCCAGGGGGGAATATGGCCCACCTTCCAACTCAGCTGCCCCCTCCTGCACTGCAGCCACCACACTGTCATATTCGGCTGTGGCCCAAGAGAAGGGTGCAGGAGTGTGGGGGTCTGGGGCAGGTGTGGGGGGACCCGGAGCAGGGGAGAGGGGTGCAGGGGGGAGGGGTCTGTCCTTGGGCACCCAGGGTGGGATGTCAGCCAGCCATGAGGGGGTAGTGGGTTCATTCATCATAGGTGGCATGAGCTTAGGGTCTGGGATTGCGCTCTCTTGTCCTGGGGCTGAAGGAACCCTTTGTCCAACCATCTCAGGTGGGGAGGCTGGAGGGGAGATGATCTCAAAGGGAGAGGGAGTCAGTTTGTCCTCTTCCTCTGGTGGCAACCCAACTGGTGATTCAGCAAGCCAGCGCTCCACCTCCAGCCCCTTCTGCGCTGAAGATTCCT